GTCAGCAACGCCAACTTGAAGGAATTTAACCAATGCGTTAGCCAATGGACCAAATCTGGCCCTCTCGAAAGTGTCGTCAACATCGAAAACTTCACAAATGATCTCCTACAAGCACTTGGAGATGCGCTCAAGATTGCAGGGAAAGTCCCAGCCATCGAAAGCGGAAGAACTGGGCCATGGTGGACCGATGAATGTCGCACAGAATGGCAAGAGTACAAGGCAGCAAGAGACAACCCTGACCTCGCGAAAGGGGCCCGCAAGAGCTTTAGAGCCGTGGTACGAAAAGCCAAGCGAGAGTACTGGAAGAGGCAAGTAGAGGCAGTGACTACTGACGCACAGGTATTCAAGCTCATGAGATGGGCTAAGCCTCGACCAGCCGCCGAGCCCCCTCCCCTGCAGATTGACGAAAACCGGTGGCTATCTGACCCGCGAGAGCGAGCTAGTGCGCTAAGAGACATTCTCTTGGCTAGGTTTAGCGGCGAGAACGACATCTCTATCTGGGAGAATGGACAGGAGGAGCGTATTCCATGGGATACGGAATTATCACTGGACGATGTGACAAGCACCACTGTATCTGTCAACAATACGGCACCGGGAGCGGACAAGATAACGGTACGGTTACTGAAATCCTGTTGGTCCCATCTAGGACCTCTCGTGAAAGATCTTTACCAGGCCTGTCTGAAAATCGGCTACTTTCCCACGGCCTTCAGGGTGGCAGAAGTTGTGCTTCTTCCAAAGCCGGGTAGAAATCTGTCAACTGCCAAGGGTTGGCGACCAATCTCGCTGTTGTCAAGTTTAGGTAAAGGACTTGAGCGTCTAGTTGGTAAGAGAATGGCATGGCTGACGATAAGTCACCAAGTTGTTCACCCACAACTATTCGGCTCCGTACCAGGACGATCTGCAGTCGACCTTGCATCCTGTGTAATCCATGATGCTGAGGCGGCCATGAGAAGTGGTAAGTGTGCGGCTATGGTCACACTCGACATTCAAGGTGCATTTGATGCAGTCCTTCACAATCGACTGCTCAAACGCCTTCGAGAACAAGGCTGGCCACGATCCCTGTGCCGGTTTATTCAGACATTTCTTTACCAATGAAAGTGTCAGGTCAAATACCGCGGTGGAATCACAGAAGAGAAGATACTGGAATGTGGAGTAACTCAGGGCTCGTCACTATTGCCACTTCTTTTCATGCTCTATATTGCTGTGCTTTTTGAGGATCATGGTCTAACGAGTAGGTTTGGTTATGCTGACGATGTAGCTATTGTCAGAATTGGAAACACCGCGGCGGATGCTATCTCCGCAGCTCAAGACGACCTCGACAGCCTTATCCTTCTCGCAAGAGAACACAGGATCGATTTTGACCCAGCAAAGTCAGAACTTCTAGTGACCGGAGGAGGGCCTAGAAAGAAAATCAACGCGGCTGGTCTTTCCATCTTGGTGAAAGATCGCCGGATCGAACCGTCACCTTATATCCGGTGGCTAGGAATCTGGCTTGATACCCAGCCAAACTTCAAGCAACATGTACAGGAATGGACTGGAAAAGCTAATCGTCTAGTCCATTTCTTACGACAAATAAACGGAGTTCAATGTGGTGCAGCACCCGGACCTCTGATTCGTGCGGTACATGCATGCGTTCTGAGCACAGCTCTATACGGGGCAGAAGCGTGGTGGCCAGGTCTCACTCGAATAACCACACTGCGAGATAAAGAAGTCGGCACTGGAGTAGGCTGGCACATATCTCTATTGGAAAAAACGATAATGAAAGCTATTAGAGTAGCACTCCCAGCGTGGCGTACCACTCCCAATGTTGCTCTTCATCGTGAAGCGGGAATACCCCCGGCATCAATAATTCTTCAGCAAAAGATGCTGCGGTCTGCAGCTCGTATGCGAAGAATGGATTTCTGGCACCATCTGGCCCTTCGGGCGACCGAGGATCCGAAAGAGACAATAAGACGCTTAGGTCTTAGATCGGGACAAAGAAATCGCTTGTTCAGACAACCAGAACGGTACATGACACGCCTACAAATGAGTGTGCGTCGAGTTCCGACAGCCGAAGGCCCCGGAAAGCTATACTTCCCACGTGGCACTCCAGCATCGATTCCATGTGGTCGAGAAAATGAAGCTAGGTCTGGAAGCATAAAGCGGTGGTTAGCTTCCCGCCCAGCTAACACAGTCTTCGCTTTCTCTGATGGATCATCATCGGGTCCCGGAAAATCATCCTGGGGGTATGTAGTATACCAAGGAGGCAAGCTAGTTACAAGTGGCTCCGGTCCACTTCCCGGAGCAGAGGTATTCGATGCAGAAGTTGTAGGTGCCATGAAAGCCTTGAAGGCTGCAATAGAGGTAGGAAAAGACTTACTGATCTGCATTCTTCTTGACAACCAAGCGGCCACCCAGGCGCTCGAAAGAGGAAGATCTAACTCCTCGCAGTCGGTGGTGGACAAGTTTTCATCGCTTAGACACAATAAGCGTGTGGAAATACGCTGGATACCCGGGCATGTAGGGATTCAAGGCAATGAAGAGGCCGATAAGCTGGCCAAATCAGCCTTGGGGGCTTCCAATAACCGGTCACTAACCTCAGCTGCGCCCATTCTAGAAGATCAAGATCTAACATTTACGGCATTAGGGAGGTGGGTTAAACAGCGTAGCCAAGAGCTCGTGGAAGAGTGGTGGCAGAAGTATCGACCGAAACGATACAAAGATCTGGACCTATTCATGCGTTGCAAAAGACCACCGGAACTAGCTTTACCAAGATGGGCGTACCATCGTCTTATTGCGGCAAGAACAGGCCACGGGGACTATGCCGACTACCATCGACGTTTCAACCCCGAACATGAAGATCTGAAATGCGTTTGCGGCCGAGAGAAAAGGCCCTGGCATTTTTCAGAGTGCCGACCTGCTTTGCCACGTTGGAGAATCTATGAGAAAATGGCCCCACCTGGGGCCAGAGAAATGATAGGGGAGAAGGGATGGCAGAAGTTCATTCAATTCTTAACTACAAGCAGATGTAACAGTCTGCCGAAGAATGAACAGGGTGGGAGGTGACCACGCTGAGATTGTTTCTGACCCGAGAGTAGATGGGTGTGGAAGATAGGGATGCGGCGCAGGGCACTGTAACTCAAACACATACTGTTCTTTTTTTTTTTTTCAATCTTTTCTTTTGTCGCTTCTGGCCCCACTGCCGGTCATGTAGGTAGCAATGAGCTTTCAGAGCCCATCTACCCGTGTCACGTCTAAATAGATGTTAGGTTCTTCCTGTCACGTAAAAGATTTCAAATTCAAATTCAAATTCAAATAACATACATTATTGTCTCTCCTTTCTCCTCTGTCAGGATCTCTTGGGACTTGGTTACTTAACTTGAACAGGTAGGCGCTAAATATTGGATTCTTGATGGTAAAGAAAATATAATAACAACAAAGACTTGGTTCTTGATTCCTGATTCTTAGATATCTAGGGAATAATACAAGACTGAAAGCTGGAGAGCTTTCAACATGAAGATACCTCAGCTACTTATACTTCGACACTATCTGCTACAGACTACAGTAATCAAGTTACAATCCGGTTCCTATCCAACTCCTGAAGGTTGTTGTAATGGAAGTTGTATAGAGAAGCGTAAGCTGTTAGGCTTGTATTTAATATCACCTAGTGAAACGAGTTGAGAGATTGAAGAGTCTGAAAACCATAGTGGAGAGTTGTTTTTATTAAACCCACTTAGTATCAGAGCGCTATTTAAATTAATTACTACATCTAAGTGAAGGACACAATTCACTTGTTTATACTAAATAATTAGGAAGCTGGTCAATGTATGAGTTGTCATAAATGTGACTAGTTGTTGGTTTATCTAAGATGTAAAAGTAGATGTGTCATCATGTGGGGATCACATGATGAACTCAGCACAGATGCGCTAGTCAGAATCCATAGTAAAGCTGTGAATCCTGTAAAGCATGGAAGACAAGACAATTATGAACATTTAGACCAACACAGAGTTGTATAACTCTTTACTGAATCATTGCAATCGATCGTGAAACCACACCGTGGTAATTCCAATACTGATCAGTGATTATAATCAACACAATCACAGACAGATAGGCTTAACAACGAAGAGACACTCGGCTTTGCTTCTCCACTCAAGCTTGGAGTTATTAAGCATCGAAGAGCTGTGCTAATATACTTTAGTAGAAGATTGAGTCTCCAGTCTTCAAAAGAAGATCATTCATCACCTACGAAGAGCGTCATCCACGCAGAACAACTAAGTGCTATCTCGATCTCTATTTAGAGTGTAGCCGAGATCACCGCACTTCAAAACTCCCACGCAAAACAATTTTCTTCTCTATATCATAGCAATACTAGCAACTCAAGTTTGATTTTAAAATCGGTACACACAATGTCACAGCTGGGTATTCCAACAATTCCACAGCTAGGAGTGGAATCCTCATTTGAAAAACCTAAGAGCATAAGTGGGTTCCAAAAGACTCAAGGGAGCATACAAGATAATGAAGATGATATGATACCGAGGGAGACTCTACTTCATGTGTTAGAAGAGCTTGGATTACAGTCTCAAATTCTGATTCAAGCAATAGACGCTCAGTACTGGGGCCAGCTAATCACAGAAGCAGAAAGCATAACTGCATAGCAACTCACAACGTTCGAAGTAGAGTGTGCTATAAGTTACTAGACGTCCGAAATTTTCGATGATGAACTTTTGGGTGCTTTTTGTGAAGATTTCGACAGCTGGAGCACGGAAATGTTCGAAAAGGTTCAGCGAGATGTAAGATGTATCTTCAGATTACTGCTACAAAGAGGAGGTATAAATACTTGCATTTTCAGAGGTGGCATTGCATGCCAGCTTGCCTCCGTCCTTCAATTTGAAGAGCTACCTGAATGGATAGATAATGACCTTTTGACAGTTGATCTGCTGCCAAGATCACGCTTCTACCCCAAGAAGTTATAACTGCTCACAGGTACAAACTCTCAAGCAACGACAACCTGCACGCTACTAGATACAATAGGCTGCAGCCCAAGAGTCTCATACCTCACTCTAGATTATCATAATGGAAAGTATGAACAGCATGAGCCAAGCTATCCACCAGCTCTTGAAGGACAACAACCTGATCCACAGGCAAGACTTTTCCGATCTCGTACTAGCTTAGTTTACCCTTCTGTGCCTCGTGATGAGGAACCGCCAGTCTTCCAAGATTTCCGACATGATGCTTGTACCAATCTCCCTTGCAACAAGCCAAACGAAAAACTTGAACCATCAGCAGTCATCAAATTTTCTAAACATAGGAACAAGAAAAGCAATCATGATGGCTTAATATATGACGTGTTTGATGGTAAGGTGCATCAGCTCCTAAGAACACGTGAATTGCTCGAGATCCGTCTACCGCAATTGCATGTATTCTTTGATCAAATGCACAAGGATCGAGCATTGTTCTACTACACTCGAATGAATGAGAACCCTGATAAGGGCCTGAGGAGCGTCCTTAATATACTGGTCGATAAGCTAAGTATCTGCGAGAGGGCAATGGGAACTTCATGCAAAAGTGATGACAAACTTCGTGACCAGCTAATGCGCACCTGGAGACACACTATTGAACTTACATCAGCTATCAATAAGGCGATAGATAACCTAGATTTCATGGATAAACGTGGCGGAAACTAGAATGGTGTCTCATGGGGAGTTCCATTCTAAAACACAACTCGTGGTTAGATCAAGTTCTCAAACAATTAGGACAGGCTCAGGAACATAGGGTCGTTTCATAGGGATTGCGTAGTAATACTGTTCGAGACAGAGCTTAGGGCTGTCCTATTATCTGATGTACATATATACCCAGCGTGAAGGAGTATTCTTCTTCACGCAATGTCTTCTGTTTATACTCATACCTATTGTTCACGTACTTATCTCTTCTCTAAAGAAGACCGCCGTTATTGTACCCTTCTCACTGTTACGGAATGTATAAAGGGTGTATCAGGATCTGGATGGGTCGGGATCAATAACTGTGTTGTGCAATAAGGAGAGTAAATCTAACTATGTACATGGAAGTCTCTAAGTGTTATGAATTTGTTATATTTAATCTGGATGTGGTGATGCAGGGGTTGTCTTCTTAATTCGGTTAGGTCTGAGGCTACGGGATTTGGATTTGTTCAGGCTGGAAATTTGAATTGGTTCTTTAGTTCTAACAATTTTGTTACTTTTACGTTTATTGTATAATTTGCTTATTGGGAATTCGATATTTTGATAATATGATAATCTGAACATATGAATTCGTAACTTTGATAATCTGAGCCTTGATTACCTTCATTCGCACCTTCGACCTTCGACCCTCGACCTTCGACCTTCGTAACTTTGTAACCTCGAACCTTTGACAATTTGTCTTCGTCGAAATCGACTCGACCTCTGCAGCTTAACAGCTTCGAAAATCTGCCAATAAGTAGATTCATAACACTAAGTCCCAAGTTTGCTAAGCCATTCCTAGGACTTAGTCCCGTGACACTCACCTACTACTTATTTTACCTTTACTTCTTCCACTTATTCTTCCGTGTAAGGATTCCTCTTCCGATCCTTTCTTCAGGATATAATTTTACCTTTCTTCATATGTTGCTATGACAACAGGATAGTTTTTGGCACATGGTATCATGTTGATATTATATTAAGGTCTATGTTATGATGAGCTAGTGGAAGGAGGGCAGGTATATATACAATGGTTTGGTCTGTAGGCATAGAGTTCTTTACGCTTAGTCTTCTGTCACAACCTGTTACGGGCTGTGCCCGGATTGGGACTGGTCACTAGGACCAACCCGGCTAGATCTTTAAGCGCCAACAAAGCAGCGCTTACAGAGACGCGAAAGGTTGCATGGGGAAGAATGCAAGGTTGCGCACAAGAACGAGTCTCAGTGTTGCATAAGGATAATTGCCAGGTTGCACATGAGGAAGGACCCAAGGGAGTACGTACTAAGGGGGGGAGGATGTCACAGGAAAGAGGGTAGCTGGTGAGAATGAAGTATTCTCAGGTAGGCTAGGAGGGGAGCTTAAACGCGACGCTGAGGAGGACATAAAGAACAGGAGCCGTCGTAGGCAGATTAGCTTCCTAAGGAAAAATTATCAATTCCTATTGAGTTAACGTCTTTCAAGTACTTCTGAATTCTTTAAACCCTTTACACAAACACCACCTTCGGATCACCTCTGGTCACCTATAGTCACCTCTAGTTACCTTTAGCACCTTTAGCCACCACTAGTATTTGCTCGTACCTTTAGACTCCTTAGACACTTATATTACCCATTTTTAAACCTTTAGTTCTCCAAATTATCTCCAGTAGATCTTTAGTCATCCCTCGAGATCCATCCGACCTCTTCTCGCCCTGTTGGTATGACAGGGTCAATCTCTGTGATATCACAGGTAATGAGAATGGGGTTTGCTACTGCAGAACTGGTGACTCATTAATATGTATATGTATATATATCTCTATCTATGGATGCCCCTGAAGCATTGATAGAACATAAGTCCACTTGTGAGCCTAAGGCATGAATCTAAACCTTAGGCCTACCAGAGCAAGTGCTCTGACATGCCCTTCTATTCCGCTTCAGGTCAAATGCCTATGCTCCAATTTGACATTACTAAGTGTCAGACCAGTATCAGAACCCGGTGGAATTTGTATTCTTGAATTAATGTTTCGTGATTCATGTAAATTCCATTCTTCTAACATAATTGTAACATTATTGTCAGAATAATATGCCAAGCTGGTACCTGACATAATTTGTGATTGCCTCAGGAAAACCTTGGCGTTTTGGGTCATTTTCAGCTAGAAAATACTTGGCGTCCATGTAACAGACGTGGTGGACTGGTGTTGAGTCGATTAAGGATTACATCTTGGCTACAACATGTTTGGATTGTATCCTGTGATGTAAGGAAGTTATTTCTAGATATTATCATCTTACGTCAGGTAGTAGATATGTGTAAATATATAAGCTGAGAGAAAGAGGAAGACAGATAGACAGACAATTACATCTTTTTATTTCACTTCAATTAAAAGCTCCTGTGTGAGCTATTCTTCCAGATACCTCTAGTCTCAATCATTACAGCTTCCGAACCAGCTCAAAAGGTTCGACACTAAGCATCAAAATCATATGAGAAATAGAGTAGCTGATTCATCAGATACTCTGATTCATTCAATACCCACAGAAGACTTCTGTAGCATTACAGGTTCTCAACCTCACATTACAATGAACGACAATATACCAGGCATTAATAATACATCAATCCAATCCACAGATGAAAGTCCCTCAAGGTCAAACATAAAATTACTCCCTCCACATCTTTGGAATTTACCATACATAACTTAATCACCTGAAATACTTGATGCAGCATCCAAAACAGATGGAGAGCGTGTAAGCCAGTTGTTTACATCTTCAGTATCTTCTATATTACCGACGGCCTTAACACCCACAGTATCACCTCAGCTCAGGCATCAGCTTCCGATCCAGCCCATTACTGTTGTTATAATTAATCAATTTATTGTTCTGGATATTCATGTAATTAATAGAGTTTGGAGTACCAGCGCACCTGCTTAGGTAAACAGCATGGATTTGATTACTAAGACTCAAATATGTATTACTAGCTTTTATTGGATAGAAGAGAGAATCAAGTTATTTTATATATATTTTACCATCACCTAAGTGAAGTCACACTGATCAGTTTGTCAACACTAAGATCAAGAACTCTGTAGACTGTTGCTGGAATATCTTGCCGGTCTGTTCTTACATTTAAAGCTCATCCTGTGGACCGTTCACTGCTACAGCCAGAGCAAGTCAATTGCGTCTTCCCAAAACACATCAAATAATTACCCAAACTCTAACCTGATAATTTTTGAGAATACTGTAAGGGCTTGAAGTAGAATTGTATTCGAATTGTACTGTTTGCTGTGTATAGAAGATCTTAAACTAAAGGAAGAAGATGGAAGAGGAAAAGTCTTCCTTATATACATTGAAAGGTGGTCTGTGCTGTTGCCAGACTATACCAAAATAGAGAAACTAAATAGTCACCTGATTAGTATCAGCTTAGATCAGTCACCCAAGACCAAGCCTTGGCTGCCTTAGGCTCTAGCCTATGACAAAACCTTTTCCAAAAACTTTCTTCAAACCTTCTCCTATCACATTTTCCTGAGAACATTCTCCTTGAAACCTCTTCAAGGATGCCTGGCCATAACAGTTTCTGCATGGTTGACATTATTTGGTTCATTTCTGCTTGTAACATTGCCATGTCTCTCCTGTGTTCTTTATCCCTTTGTCTTATTTCTTCAAACATTTTTGCATATCTGTTGTAACAGCTGCTAAGCCTAAGAATTCATGTAGCCTACGCTGGCTAGCGCAGGCAATGACACCAAGGGAATCTTCGGGGGCCTTCGGGAAGGATCCCGGAATATACGGAGCTTAGAAGATTCTCAATGAACCTTCTGGAAGCACACTGAAGGTTCATGAGGATGATAGACATATCGAGAATCTTCTAGTGAATCTTCGATGTTGGAATAGCATCTTTAGCTCAGTTTACTTGGAGTTGGTGGTTCTTGGTTTACATGCAAACAATTTCCTTCATTGTGGATTTCGGCATTCGGATAATACTTTATCCGAACACAACATAGCTAATATATTGTAGCATCATTGTAAACTAGATAACAAATGAACCATGAATGCGCATTTCTTCTGAACAATAGTTCGAAATACTTACACAAGTACTCTCATAACTTTAAGTGAACTAATAGACTTTTAGTGAATGACCTTTGTCATACCAACATTCGAAGAGTCCAAATTATTCTAGTCATAGGGGGAACCTTATAGCAGAGAAGTATCTTAGAGAGTATATATATATTTGTAGTCTAGCTGTAGAAATTCTCTCTCCAGAGAATTATAATTAAAATACTATACTTACAAGATAGCCCATGCATTTTGTACTGAAACTAGGACATCTATCTGCATTTCTTTGTGTTTCATCAACTCCTGGTTTGAAATACTAGTAGCAAGGAAGCCCGTTCCGATTTCAAGATTTTCCATTTTGGGACCCCTTATTGATTCGTTGAATCCCTGTGCTGATTTGAATGATAAATGACTGAGGCAACTCAATTGTCTTGAGCTAATTATTGTGACAGCTGGTAAGCCAGCTGGTTCATGTAGCCTATGTTGGCTAACATAGGCTTGGTCTGATTTAGGGTGCGCACAATTGATCAATCTAATATCGGAGCATCGGAATCTGCATGGCATCCGATTCAACAGTACAGCTCAACATGGCACCACTTGTCGGTGAGAAGCTATTGGCTGGGAATATACAAGACCGGACACAACCTCCTCAAATGATAGTGCAATGACGTCGTAGAATATGAGGCTCTTTTGTATATATACATATGTAGATAGATCCTGTAATAGTTCTCTCCTTAGAATTATTATCTACTACCATCAACCACATAGTTGCTCCAGCACCTTTCCTAGAATCCGTGACAATTATCCCGTCTGTTGATGTTGATGGAGGAGCAAATATTGGCATCCACTTCCTTGGCAGTCATAAGTCAAGTAAGGTGCTAACTGTTCTATTCCAATAAATAAAAAATTTCCTTAAGTCACAACAATCTAATAATGTGATATACTTAATAACAGGCAATGTATGTGAAAATAGA